GTTATATGGTTCTGATATAGACGGTAAAGTCTTCTTTAGGATTCCAAGCTGATCCAGGTTCGTGGCGTGATTAATTGCTGAGCTGAGGTATCCTTCGTCGGTGAGAGCGGTCATGGCTTCCACTATCTAATTCGTGATGTCAAGTACTGTAGGGTCGATGACATCTTCATCAAGGTTGTCGTCACCTGATAGAGCTTCGAATCTTGTAGGTCTTTCTGAGAAATGGGGGCGGATGTTCTAGCGGACATCGGGGTGGAAATAGACGACATTTACCGCGCAATGAGACCGTAATCCAGTTATTGTCTCGATTTAGGTTGGAGAGGGTCAATAGAGGGTAGTTGAGCCGGTCTGTCGTCTGGCAAAGATACCATAGTACGTGGTAAGTTGGAATACGTCGTCTCATCGGACAAAGCGGATCTGTTTATATACTTTGATGCAGGGCGGGGTTGAATTGTGCAATTTTGTATCAGGTACTAGTATTTTGTTGAGTAGTGCGCCGAGAAGATGCTGCAACCTTTGTTTCTGCCATTTTAGCTTAAGACTTAGCGACATCATCGGGCGCCTATATTCTGTTCATTGGCTTTCCAACATCCATTACATCAGTATGATCACATCGTGCAATGATGTGACCAATGTTACCACATTTGTAGTACTGTAGCTGTCAACATTTGATTCTGTTATGATTATGGTAGTTGCATAATGCTCCCACCAAACAATGGACGGAGCATTTGCGAACGACCAGAGATACTGAAAGTCAGCTTCCCGACAGAGCACTTCCGCGAGTCTAGTGTACGGCAATCCATGTATTCGGATCATGCGCCACGGGACTGTGCGTTCTGATAAAAGCTTGTATCTTCCTAATATCGACGAACATTATTACTTTGTCAGGTCATTACGTACTTCAAATTACAAGAAGTCTAGAAATTGGCCGATCCTTTTCGTCTCTCTCAGGCCGAGCCAAGCGATGGAAAATTTTAATTTTATTGCAATTGGTAGACTTCCCTTTCAAAAGCCATTATAGTGTGTTGAAATTTACTCGCCGTTGCACGGTATAATAATACATGGATAAACTTCAAACCTGATTGTAGCCGATGTTCTTGAGGATACCCAGAATATCGTAGAAGTCTTGACGGTTCACTCGATAACATTCCGCCTCCAACAGTATAGCTTCTATTCAAGCGCCTGAGTTATTTGCCTTCTTGATTTTACTATACAAATTCCACTTGATTGAAATATCAGTTTTTCTTCTACTTGAGCTCGAATTGTACTGTGCAGCCACAATAATTCCTATCAATTAGCAATTATTAGTAGAAAAGGTGGTAGCCTCCTGCTCACAATTCCCTTCGCCATCCCTTGAATGATGCGCCAATCATCCACCGAGCCTTTCCATACGCTACCAAATAGCTCCAATGCCACTACCGCGACCGCAGAGTACACCTAACATGCTGCGTTCTTGTTGATTGTACTTTTTTGATAATCGTATTTATCACATCCCCCCACACTATACAGCGAGTTGCTTCATTCTCAAGGGAAGGGTCACTAGACTCTTAGCTGTTAAAACTTCATGACTGTTGACTACGACCAGCGCAGTCGGATCGTCGTATAATCCACGATAGTTGCAATATTCCATGTTGTGTTCAGGATTTCATGGCTGATGAATGTCGCGTGTTGTTCTCACTGCTACACGTGCCTGTCACTGTAACACTTGCCTCCTCGAGTAGCGTCATTATCAGTATTCTATACACTTTCTGCGAAGAAAGATACCGGGACTTTTGTGGTGCAAGTTGCTCCTGTTCGGTTGTGATAGAATTATAAAACACGGCAATTATAAAAATTGTCAATACATATATTACTAGATCGGTCATTCCCATTCTTGGTCTCCATTAAATTACAAACGCGACCAAATACCTCATCATCGATTTTTTCGAGTATAAAGTCATGTCCACATCATGTCCTACTAATATAGTAGTCGTTGTCACACGCTTGTTAGCTTTACATCCGTAAACCGATGCAAATATAGTTGAAATCCACCAATTATCGATCTTCTTATTTTGTTGGCCAAGGGTGGCCAAACATCCTTCTTTGGTATGTGTATCTTTAGGGTTGGTTCACTTGACCCCGTTGAGCGTGGTAGATCGACCGATCCAGCGCATCGTCGTAAATTGGAATGTTGAGTCGAGGTACCATGTCCTCCCCTAGATTGCCGATTTATCTTCGAGAAAGCAGTTGATTGTCGGTCTGGTGTATCCACTAGATCGAGTGGACCAGAAAGATCATGGATCTTACTAACTAAACACTTCTTAACATCATTACATTTTTGTAGCTCTCACTTTACGACATCATTCTGTTGAGTTCACCGACTCTCGATCGACGAGACTCTGATGGTGCCTCATGAATCGCTGAATCGTACTCGACGAAAACACGTCTTTCTTTTGTTGCGGATGTGCCCACCGCGGGCCGACTTGAGATATTGTCGCTACCGTCTGATATACCAAACGATGACTCTCATTCTACACCGTACATATTTACGTCTTTTGCTATATTGCGAAGTAGCTTAAATCGAATCTGTCCTTCTACTATCTCTCCTATGCTTGAATCGAAGGGAACGCAAGTCGATCGTTTAGTCGTAAAATAATAGTGAGCGTCTCGACCAGGAAGGTCTTGACTAGATATGCCTCAACGACCTGCGGCATGGCGAGTTCCGCCTCGACGACTCAGGCCTCTGAGATCAACCCTCGGCGATATCCCACTCGGCGACGCCCAATTCGGCCAGCCCTACCTCAGTGAGTCACGATCTAGTGACTTAAGTATCGACGAGTTGATTCCGCGGCTCCCGACTGGGCGAATTAGATCCCGGCGGGGTCACAATTTGTTCAAACTTCTATTTTAAATAGGCGTGATGTAAGGACATGTCGATGAAGAAGGTTACTACTTTACACCAAAGTTTAGCATGTCAAGCTAAGATGGACATGCTAAACTTTGCCTTATCGCATCGTTTTCGATACCACGACTTAGATGGTGCAATAAAGTTTGACGAAACATCTTACGAAGGAGTCACCTTCGTGACCGACATGTGGAGACATAACTGCTCAAGCTATTTGGCCCACGCGCATGCATCGGCTCGTTTACAAACGCAACTTCTGGCTGCTGTCTCAACAGATGTCAAGTAAACGAGTAGTCGATTATATCGACAGCTTCGCAAGTTAAGAACGCTGCTGATGAAGCAAGACTACCCATTCGTCATCCAATCAAATTCATGATCAATAAACTTGGCATATTGCTCGTATAAGTATAGGAAAAAGCGTGACTCAGTCGACCGACTCACCGACGGTTAAACCGATTCAATCAAACGTCTTCTATCTGATAACGCTCAGAAAGGAAAGCCTTCACGCGAATAGTGTGTAAGTACCATTCTCATACAGCACGTCCTTATACATGACTTCAAAATAGTTAAATTGACCACGGTAAATTACTATGTGAAGCGTGGCAACTCACCCTTACGCTAATGACAGTATCGACAAACGCTTCGGAGATTCACGTAAATGCTTGTGTAACAGGAAGCGCAGACAAATGCACACAATGCGTATCACTGCTTCTAACTGAAAGATTGTCATACAGTATGTGATTGATTTCTAACAATAAAGTCGGCTTCACGGCACCTTTGGTTATGTCTACCTACATGTATGCTTATTGACGACCTGGACACCACACGTTGCGCGCGCCTGTCACTGCTGAGTTGAAGGTAGTGCTGGCTGACGTAGTAGAGCAAATCACTCAATGCGCAGCGTGTTGTCCGCTGGTTTGAGTATAACTCATCAAGATGATATGATTCCACTACTCTTCGCAAAGGTAATATTAGTATGCGTCCATCGCCAGCTTCTACTCGCGTTGACGTTTAGGTCAATGTCATGCACCGGGGGCACACCGTTGTATGGTTGAAGCCTATTATACGTACAGTAGATGTAATCGAGAATATACCAAACGGTCAAACTATACTTACGTCCATTTCTTTACCACTTAACAAAATTGTGCTTCTATTCTTGAAACCGCGCCATCTGCGGAAAGCCTTTACGTAAAGTTTTGGGATATCGAACACTTACGGCTATCCGTACAGGCCATCTCCATAGTTGTCATTCTCGATAAACGTATCCTCCTTGCCGTACCTCATCTTCTCTCTCATTTACTCATTACGCCAAGGCGGACAAGGAGCACCTGGCTCGATCATCACACGACAGCCACGCATACTTTATGTCTTCCTTCTGTTTCGAGTCCATGCGATGGCAGATGGCAAATTGACCTCTCGCATAAGCGCTGTCGGTAGTCGCGTTTGTTGGGCTTGTATACGACTGGACACATAAAGGATTGACTTGGTCGTCCAAGCATTCCGTCAGTAAACGTAATGACATTCCGTGATGACGTGGAGCAAACACAATTGCTACCAACTCTTTCGGTCTTTTGTGGAGGATAGTCGTGGTATCAAAGTAGCACCAGTTATGGATAATAGTTGTCGAATGGACGAACGTGCACAGTGTTTGAGTCACGTATTGTATACGTCATACCACACTGTGCACCACGTGTGTAGTGCATACAGTATATGGCACAGCTATCAGTGCGCATGCCAATGACAGTCCCTTGCGACCGAACTGTGCAGTGTTTGCTCGGACGTAAAGAAAAGGCAACAGCTACAGATACCGGTAGATACCGCAGAGCAACCGAGAAATGAGATCGTGTGTTTCGGCTCGAGTGCGCAACAAACCGCTTGGGTTGTTGTTGCTCGATTGTGTCCTTGTTCATCCGTCCAGACACAAGTGTCTCCCAAAACCCCCCCACGCGCTGCTCACCTGTCCCGTCAAATGCCCCACACAAACCCGCCCGCCCCGTCCGTCCGGCCCAAGTCAAGTGTCCCCTTCCCCACCCGCGATCTCGTGCCCAAGCGCTCGTTTCCCTTTCCTTTCCTTGCCGCATTCCGCACTGTCCGCGCGCGCTGCATATGGGCGTGAATGACCGCCCCGTCTCTTCCAGCCACTGACCTTCCTCCTGCTCCTGCCGCCTCTGCGTCTGCTGCTGCTGCGTTCGCCGCCGCCGCCGCCGACGACGGCCTCGTGTTCCTCCCGCTCGCGTCCCCCGCGCTCGAGCTGCTGTGCGTCGCGCTGTACCTGACGCTCGCGCTCGTCGCGGCCTGTCGCGGCGCGCGCGCACGGTACGCAGGGCACGCGGTCTCGTCTGCGTTTCCCCCTAACCGCACGTTTCTGCGCCTGCTGGTGCTCTTTGCGCTCACGCGCGCGGCGTCGCTCGTGAGCCACAACGTCGCGCGCAACCTCTTGAACCGCGCCGCGCTCTGCCTCTTCTTCTCGCTCGTGCTGTTCCAGACGCTGCTGTGGATCGACATTGCGAACCCCAAGATCTCGCGCCGCTCGCGCCGCATTTGGGTCGCGTTCGTCGTGGCCAACGGCCTCTTTTACGCGACCGTCTTGGGCCTCTCGGTCGTCCACGAGGCCAAACTCGCGCGCGCGCAGCACGCGCACGCGGCGCTCGACCAAGCCACGCTCTACACGGGCGTCCTGCCCGTGCTCTTGATCGCCACGGGCAGCTTTGTGAGCTCGCTGGGGCTCGTGTACTCGACGTGGCGCATGCGGCGCCGCGTTGCGCGCGTGCTGCGGCCCTCGGGCGACGGTCTCCGCCGGCGCCTCGACGAGCGCGTCGAGCGGAAACTCACGCGCGCGCTGCGCTTCACAGTGCTCGTCATGGGCACGTGCTCGCTGCTGTTTCTGCTGCGGACGCTCATGTACATCCAGCGGCCGTTCTCGCATCAGGGGTGCGGCCACATTGCCGACCCCAACGTGTGCGTCGTCGTGGGCTACGCGATCCCTGAGATTGTGCCCTGCGCGCTCTTTCTCGTGCTCATGTGGGAAGTTGAGCCGTCGCTCGAGATCCCGTCGCGACGGGCCGTGAGTTTCCACAACGAGCGCGTCGCGGCGTCCGAGTCGACGCCGCTGCTCGAGCAGCAGGAAGTCGTGCCCCGACCGCTGCTCGTGGCCGCAAAGGAGTTTGTCCATCGCGTACGCCGCCCGGCGCCGTCGCCGACCGGGTACTTGCCCGTTGGACGACGACCGAGTCCGCTGTCGCTGGGGCTGGGGATCGGTGTGCTGGACCGGGCGAGGCGACAGCTCGAGCTGATGGTGCGCCAGCACTTGGGCGGCGGCGGCAATCGCGAGCAGCTGCCGATCGACCGACAGGACTCCACTGGCAGTGCCTTTGGCTCGCCTGTCGAGTGCGACCGGCCGAGCAAGCAGCTAGGACATGTCGCGGACGACGCGTCGACGCGGCCAGGGTCGGTCACGCCTTGTGTGTGGCTGTCGTTCCAGTGCTTTAACTTGACGCTGCCCTCGAAGCCGTCGGTGCGGTCTTCGTCGTTTGTCGTGCTGCATCTCGTTCATGCTGAGACCGGTGCAGTCGTCGCGGAGATTGGACGGACCGAGATCTCGCATTCGGAAGACCCGTGTTTTCACATGATGCTGGTCGTCGAAGTGCACGCGCAGGACGTGCTCCGTGCGTCCGTGTACTCTGTCCGCGCGCCCAACTCGCTGGCGGATTTGAACAGTCAGTGGCTGGTGGGCGACCCGCTCGTACCGGTATCGTCCTTCATGATGGATGCAGCACCCGTGATTGGCCGTGCATCAATTTTCCCGCTGTACTCGCCCCTGTCGCGGACACGATCGTCGGGTGAAATTGTCGTTCGCTGCGAAGCAGAGGTCAAAGGGCTTCATGCAGGGGTGTTTTCCGGCGCCATCACGCGATCGTTCATGTACATTGCGGTGAAAGGCGCTGACTCTGATGACATGTCGACCTGCAATGACTCGGCGTATTCCGAGATAGCGCAGCAGATGATTGATCTTGCGTCGACGTCTCAACGTGCGCAGGGCAAGATGCTGGTCGAAGAAGAGCTGATTGAAAGTGTGTATACTTGGGAGGTGCCTTACCAACTTCTCCAGTTGATACTGTCCGATTTGCTGGTAAAACTCGATTTACTGAAGCGCGAGATCGCGCTTGAAGATGGCGATGACAGTTCTCCATCCACTCCGTGCAGCCAGCTGTCAACTCCGACTGTTGGCGATTGCTCACTGCCGTTGGCCATCCGTTCTTCTCCCAGGACACTTGGTGCGGTGCAAGAAAACGAGACGGACCACTTGACACAGTCATGGGAAAACGCGGGGTCGTTCCAATCAGCTGCATCTGGAGTGAGCTCGCCGTTTTCAGCTGAAAATCGGACGAGGCCAGCAAACAGCATCGGAATGCTATCTGAAATGATTATACAAATTCAAGATGATGTTATCGAGCGAAAGAAACGAAAGTGGCGTCTGGAGCTTGTCAAAACCATGGAGCAATACATCTCGGAGGTGGAGGACTCGATTTTGCGGTACGGCGCCACTCAGCACGCCGGACTTACTTTCAAGCCAAGCACGATGAAGGCGGACGCAGACTTACGTTTTCTGGCACTGAACCTTCATCAGCAATTGATGACGGTGGGCAATGCAGTCCCGACGTCAGAAAAGGACGTACATTTTGGTGACCAGACGAGTGCAGCGCGATACGCCCATCTTGTGAACTCGTTTGTCGGAACGCTCGTGTCGTCTCCTTCGCACATGTCGAGACAATCCAGCATACATGGACAAGATACTTACCTCGATTCAGTTGAATTCGTTGACGATGACGAAGATGATACAGACGATATTGCTTCACCCTACTTGATAGAGGAATCGCCACTTGAACCCGTTGATGCGCTACGTCGGCGCGTGATTTCGTTCGATTCGGCGGCAACAATTGTGAACAAGGGAGCGTCGGGTCAAGATTTTGCAGTCACGTCAGAACAACGGAAGCTAGCCGAAACCATTGTCGCAATGGGAATCACTGAAGAAGAGTTCCAAAGCATGTACGGAGGGGACAGAAAGATTGGTGCATCCGATGCGGTTGACATCGTAGCCGATATCATGGTAGGCCGCTTGGATGACGGGTTGAAGCTTGCAGTACCAAGCAGTGAATGCTGCTCCTTGCCACAGGTCCCAAAGTCTGACGTGGACCTAGCGAAAGCGCCGATTATGAGCGGTGCGACAGCTAGTGGGAATGCTCCGTTTTACAAACACCGAATGTATGGTACTACGACGGTAGGAGCCTTCGCAGCGCATGTGTACGGCTTCAAGAGCGGTGGCGTGCGCCAGATGCGTGAAGAGTTGGAGAGACTTCATACGCGCCTCGTGAAAGCCGCAAAAGCGAGTTCTGATCTTACGATGGACGCGTTGGAGCGCAAGTACAACGAGCTGAAATGGGATGTCGAGCGTCGACTCGAGGTGGCATTTTGTCAGGCAATGAGCGCGCTCGTCACGTGTTTCCAGCAAACCCTTTACGTGCATACACACGACCACGGGGACTTTGGTCCTAATCCACTAAAAGCTTGCTGCGGTATTGACTACCTCGAAATGCTCACGAGAGTCGGCTTTTTGTTCTCTGTGGAGAGCTTGCTGTCGACGTACGGCAACGAGCTTGGAATGCTGGGTGATACTGAGACAGCGGTCAAAGAGCTGGGGCGGGTGCACATTAAGCTGCGACCTGTGAAGTCTCCGCGCGCAGCGGCGTTCCGTGTCTCTATTACTTCAGGACCATCAGGCATCGTGGTCGAGCTTCCGATCATCACACGACGTGCGAGTGAGTTTCCTGAGCGTAGCATGCACCGAGTTCCAGGCCAGGACGCAGTATCAGGTGCCATTTATTTGCCGCTCTCGACTCCAGAGGAGAGGATGCGCGCAAAATTTTTGTTTCAGAAACCTATTCGGGTCGTGCCAGTGATCTTTTCGCAGGGATTGAATGAAATGCAAACGGTGGCAAACACTGTAGGCAAAGACTCGTTGCAGAAAGAGATTAATGCTGAGAATGTCGTCGAGTTGGAGGCGTACATCAATGAATTTGCTGGCTGGGTCGCTAAGAAAAAGCTACGAGATCAAACGTCGACTCCGATATACGACACAGAAGACCTTCATCGGATTCAGACGTCACTGGCAGCTCTCAAGACATGTATTCAATTATCAGGGCGGTCGAAGCGCATGGCGATCTTAAGTTTGTCGTCATCCATCGCCCGTTCGGTCGGTGGCGGCCGCGTGACGATGTGCAAGTCAGCCAAAGATCGTACGTCGATGTCAATCACGCTTGAAGAAGCTAACCTTCTGGTTCGCTCACACGGCCTTGTTGCTGACGAGGTGGAAGCATTTACGAACTTGCTTCGGACGCATGGTGTCCGTCGTGAAAATGCGCGAAAGAACATCGGCAAAGCGCAGTATTGCTTCAGTGCGCTGCAAAACTACATGCTGCCGCAGGACTATCAATGTCCGCCAGGCACCGGAGGTGGTAGTCGAGCGTATTCGTAGCACTGCACGGCGAGCAAGAGATTATTTGAAACGAAGCTGTGAGGGAACTGCAATTTTTGTCATTTACGAGGCCCGAAGAAGTACAAGAGGACGCTGGCGTGTTGTACTCAGGAGCATGCCAGAATGTCCTGCATTGACATTGTACGAGGGTACAGCTGCTGCTGCTTATGGGTGCTACTACCCTGGTCGGTAGACCGCATTGGTATGTCACTTTTTACGCTTGTGAGAACGGACGCGTTGACGAGCAAGTTGAAGGGTGGCATCGGTGATGTCAGTCGCCTGGAAAGAGTGTCAGCTCGTGTAGATGCCCCTGGCGCTGTCCATCGCGTACTCCTTGAACACGGACTCACAGTCGAGACGGCGATGCCTCTTGACTCTTCGCTCAAACCGGGATAATGTGGGTCGAGATTGAAGCCGTGTGTTGTCAGCATTGATGGTGACAACGATGGTGCTGCACAAGGGTGGGGATGAGTTGACGTAGCTTGCAAAGGCATCAGTGCACTGGCCATCCACTTGCTCTCGTCGGACCCAGACATGCCTTCATCATCGTTAGGAACGGTGGTGGTGGTAGCAGAGAGCGAAGGAGAGGAGCAACAGGAGCTTGTGTGCTCCAAAGACGTGGATGGTGCTGCTTCCTCCGGCGGCAGAAGATCCGGCTGAGTTATCTTCACTCGTAGCAGACGTTTGGCGCTGGCGTTGCGAATGAGACTGGGAGTGTCGGGGTGGAGCACTGTCGTGGGCAATGGCTCACGTTCGTTGTCGAGCTTGCGTCGTAGGTTTCTCATAGCCTCTTGACGGATTCGCTTAACGTTTTTCTCGCTTCGGAAGCCTAGGTACGGCCAGCGTCGGATCCCCAACGAACGACACACGCGAATGAGCGTGCGGCTGCTAATGCCAAGACAGTCGGCAGCTTTTTTGGCGGTGAACCCGAACAGCTCGGCGAGAACGTTGAACGACAGCGTTTTGATGCCGTGTTTTGTGTGCACACGAACAACGTACGAGGCGGACGACCTTGCCAGGGAGCAGTAATGGCGAGATGGTTCTGGCAGGGATAGGGACGTTGCCGCTGCTACCGCAGTACTTTGCACGGAATGTAACGGGCTGGCCATGGGTGACGCGATGATCGCTGTGGGGCTGGCTTGTCGTTTGTGGTGCAGTGGAGAAGGCTGAACCTTACTTACTGGCACGCTGGTGCTGTTTTCGTACGGTCTGCCACGGCAAATTCACTTGTGTCGGGCGTCGGACGTCGACCAGAATCTGTGGCGGACGATGGCGATCTTGGCAAGTGAGCGGTGGACAAAGTAGTGACGAGGTCAGAGCAGTGAATGATTTTACGATGGCTACGTCACTCGTCCACCCTTTCGCGTCATTTGGACGTGTTGCCGGGTTGTCCTGCACACTGGGCCGAAATTGACACACGACGGTGTTGTCATTTCCTCGGATCCTCGACGGATCCTTGCGATCATTTGCAGTATTCCGCTGTACTCTGGTACGTTCCGGTTGGGTGCTTACAGCACTGATCAGGCTTGGTCCAGTTCGCGCTGACGAAGGGTCGGCAGACAAGGCGCATGGCTAAGCACGTGTGTCACCAAAATGCTGGAGACCGATCGTGACTTGATTTGTATCCTGGATCACGAATCACTGCGAGAGGCAACGGAGGAAATTGGTGGATGAGACCAAGTGACTATCAACGAAGGAAGGCCTGCCAATGAGTCGGGCGACCTGTACGAGTCGAAGCGTCTGATTGTCGCGCGTGGCGGAGCTTTCACTTGCGTAGGCGGACACGTAACTTAGCTGGAGATGGTCTGACGCGGTCCGCTTTCAAGTAAGTAAGCGCGAAGGGAGACGCACGTCGAGAGTCCTGCTTGAGGGCTAGAGATGGTGTAACGAGTAACACTGGTGATGAGGCTTCACAGCAGTATAAAGGCGTCTCGACAAGTCTTTCAGGTAAGATGCCTTGGAAGCACGTGGTGATGGTAACGTCACAGGAGCACTACTAGATGCGTGCACTGAAGCTAATGGATCTTGCAGCGAGTGTCGCGTCACACCATCGGTTTGCAGCCACAAGACCGGTGAGACCACTTCGACGTTTTTCTATCATCTGATACGCTCCAGCGTCACAATCCATCAGGCCGGTGGTCAATGCACAACACAATGACACACGCGGCCTCCCGGTCGTCGCTCACGACTACTGACAGTAAATCAGGCAGGCGGAACGTCGCAGCAGTCCTTACCATGTTGGGGCGACTTGTTTCGTCTCGTGTGACTGTCGCGCATGCAGTCGCTTCTGCATAAATTTGGTCCTACGCCAGACTCTGCCTGCCACACGCCGCGGCGATCGGTCGTCGTGCGTTAGTGGCGGGCTCGACGATCGCTTGACTTGCACGACCTGGCAATTACTGCGCAGACAAGCTCGAAACAAATGGCTAGTGCTTGAGACGAGGCGTGACCAGCGCTTTTCATGACGTCTGCACAACATGGTTTGCATATGCGTCAATGCTTCTTGACACCTTCACAAGCAGTTTTTCTCGTCTCGCGGTCGTCGGCGCATGCTGCAACGAGCTCAAGCAGATGATAAAGTGGTGTCTCCGGAGCGCTCGAAGTACAAACTCAGCCCATGGTCCCGTTCGTGTTGACACGAGTTCCCCGATCGTCAACGCTGGAGCTGATATCGTATCCATTCACAACATTGTGCTGCATCGGTTTTCGAATGTTGCGGACGGGTCCAGACCGGGACAGAGAGCCACGACAGTTGACGAACAATGAGTGAGAACGCGTCGGGAAGCGAGACAGCGAGTCGGTTCCTGGTGACATCGCGCAGAGCGCGGGCGTCAGTCGCAACTTGTGACCACCCTCCCCAGTGGCAGACTCGACCATGTCTGCAACGCTGTCGTCGGGCAACGGTCTTTCCTCGTTTTTACCTGCTATTCTGGCACGAGCTAGTACTACACGGAAGCTTGGGAGGCGTTTCTACAGAGCTCGTCGCCCAACACCTTCGTGTCCACCGCTCGAGATCTCCATGGCCTCGGCAGCTCCTTCTTCGTCATAAACACGGCGGGCATTCGTAGCGCCTGACATTTTCGTGGGCTTCTTCGCTATGGCCGACCGGTTACTACCCGTCATGTGCTAGAAACCACCGACAAAAGAACAAAGCAATAGATAAGCGAATGAAACCCAACAACACAAAGTGTATCTTGCAGATCGACAAACTTACAGCACTGACGCCTGTCTTTTTACAGAGCGCCTCGGCCTCTGCCCACTTCAGCACACCGTACTCCAGACACCACTTCTGCGCCATGCGACTCGATGGCCGCTGCTGCAACAGACTCTCGTAGAAAACCCGATCAGCAAAGCCCTGAGCAAAAAACACAGAGCTCGTGAGACGTGAGAGAAAAAAAGCAGGATACAAAAAGCGGTTCTCCCCCTCTTGCGAGTTTGTTTGGGTACTGGCGCCACTAGATACGACATATAAGAGACGAGATGCAGACGCAGTTGTATCGATGTCGGTGGACAGGAAGCCGTCGATCAATCGACGTACGGGCGAAGGCGTCGGGTGTTTCTGACCAGGTTTGCGGTTCGCCTCTTGCTCGTTGGCCCATTCTTCTTCTTCGATCATTTCTGACAATACTGCAACGTAAATGTTGGAATAGGAGAGAGAAAGACGAAGAAGAAGAAGAAGAAGAAAACCCCACTGGGAACGATGATGTCACTGAATCGAGGTGTAACGGGAAAGAAAGACGCTTCGGCAGCTGCTGCTACTTCAGCGCTTTGTCAGCCGACCTTGTGCCAAAGCCGAGCGACATGGCCTTTAGTAACAAATGTGAAAAGCCGCGGCTGGAACTCCGATCGGCCAATGCCGGTGACGCGATTCGTAAGCTTTAGGAGCAGCGGGATTCGAGACAAGCTGTATGATTGATTTACGGCTAGCCATTGTCATTTTTTTTCTATACGTATGCATGCAAGAAAAATGAACTGGTGAAAAGGGCGAAAGCTCCTGTGAGCTCTATCGATACCCACTTGAGAGAGCTCGAGGCTGCGAAGAATCGATGCAGCTTATAGGTACCAACCGCGTAGATGCTTGGCGCACATATAGCAGAAGAAGCCACAGAAGAAACGCAACAGAAAGCTACGAAAAACGACCTGTCCGCGACCGAATTCGCTTCGATGACGCGATCGCAAACGGGTCGACAGAGACAGTCGTTCAGGCCATTTAAAACATCGAGCGACGTGTCTTTGATCGAGGCCACGCGCTCGAGAACTTTTAATATGATATACGTATTCGCTCATTCACTGCTACATCATTCTAAAACGAGACGCAAGACCAGTTAGAAATGCGCCATACGATCTCGCTCACTTTGTCCACCCTTCGATGCTACACAACATGAGATGCAACCCAACTGCCTCACATCTTTCTATCGTCGCAGATACTCGATAGAAACCACGCGGCCACATCAGTGCCGTCTATCGTCAACTTCGGCCAAAGTGGACGCACGCAACGAGAGCGAAAGAGTGCTTGCAAGATAAAAAAAGAGCATTTTGCAGCTGCGTTTGTGCGTACAAATGCTCATTCCGACAGACGCTCTGACTCCTTTCGTGTCGCTCGTTTTTCCCCACCGAACAACCGCAACGTCCCACACACATTCCCATGTGGTGTCATCGTCTCCTCACGGGCGCAGCCTGTGCCCGTCCGCTCTCGCGCCGCGTTGTTCCATCGACACTTACGTCGGTCCATTTGCCACACCTTTTCTCGGCGTTTTCTTCCTTCCAGTACCGACATGCGCGGGCTATTGCGCTCACGTACCACGACGGGACGTGCTCGTTGGCGGTCCCTCTACCCCTAAACGGTTTCGACGAAGAGCGGGTCTTTCGCCTTCCACTTGGTACGTACTCTTCTTTTTTGTGCTTTTTTTGTTTTGTACGGTAGGAACGGATATCGAAACCAGCACAAGTGTTGTCATGCAATAACTTGTTGCTTTTGTGTCTGCTTTTCTCGATGCAACTTGTGCTTTTTTGTCCACTCGGTCGTGGTGGGGCAACAGAGACCACGGTCGCCGATGTGATCCATCAGATTGAAGCCGAGGACGAGTCAGTGCAAAATGTAGCCATCCGGTCCACGCGAGGAAAACTGTTTGACCCGACGGATTCGTTGCAGAAAGTCTTGACGGACGACTTTGAGCTGCTACTGAACGACCACGTGCTGCCTGTGCGTGCACCTGTGTTTACAGGCAATGCGTACCTCAGTCTCAGTGATGACGGCGACTTGGACGTCCGCTCGGTGGCGCAGAAGTCTGCCATTATTATGCTGCGGAGCGACCTGGAGAGACTGGGCAAGTGGAAAATCAGCTACTGGGACTTCGTCCAAAAGTGTGAGGAAAGAGGGATTCCCAAGAAACAAGCGATGGACGTACTGCAGGCCTTCCATCAGTCCGGGATTGTCTTCTTCTTTGGCAAGTCAGACGATAAGGACTTGACCCAGTCCGTGTTTTTGCAGCCACGCAGTATTTTGGACTCGTACTTGGAATCCATTGGACTGTCGCCAATGTCGTCGCAGCTCTTTGAACAGCAGCGAGAGGCACTGCTGGAGAAGATTCGGGCGCTGACGCCGGAGCACGTGGCACTCGTACACTTGCGCCGGGAGCTAGAGAGCGCGGCAACACGGCAAGCAGATATCATTGCGTACGGACTGTCCACATCGCTCGTCGGCGCTTTTGGACTGTACTTCTGGCTGTCGTTTATTCACTTTTCGTGGGATATCATGGAGCCAGTGACGTACTTTACAGGCTTTGGTGTCTCTATTCTTGGCTACGCGTGGTGGAGTATCACGAATCAGGAATACGAGTACGAGAACATATATCACTACGTACACACTCGACGTCTTGAGAAGCAGATGGCTAGGGCGAAGTTCGACCAGGACCGGTACGATGCTCTGACGGAGGAGTTGCGCCAGACAAGGGACCAAGTGGTAGAGATCGAGCTCGTACTCAGCAAGCCAACGCCTTTGAGAGCAAAGTATTTGCATCTGCTGGACAACAAGTGCGAGCTCAGACCGCCAGTAGTCGCAGTCTCACGCTCGCTGAATAAGCAACAGCGTGAGTCAGTGTCGCTGTAGACTACGATTCTGCAGCTCACGTTTGGTAGTACCGCAGAATCGCGCACGTTCGTTGTTCTGACGTCGGCCATTGCACAAAGGGAATGCAAACGGACCAGTAGTCGCATTGCTTGACAAAGCTAGTGCAGTCAAGCAAGCACTATATTTTGCCTCATAGGTAGACAGCGTAGAGATGAAACGGTATGTACGTGATACCGTGGGAAGCAAATGCAGAGATTGTCATAGAACTACCGGCTGCACTTCGTAGCATTGTTGCAGGCGCAGTCTATTGAGAGTAACAGGAAAGCGTCTATGTGACATTGACATGGAAAAGTACGTGGCACTCATTGTTGCCATAGGACGGTATCGTAACTTGAGTGTTCCCAACGTGACTCATGGCAACGAACAGCAAAGTTTGAGAGTTTTGTGCGGCCCGTGGTATCCATTTTTGCACGAGCTGTACATTGTTGTTTTGTGATGTTCTCGAGTCGTAGTACTACGCTAATTCTAAAAAGCATCCAATTCGATGATACGTCAGCGATCGAACGCGACACGACCTAGTTGAGGGTGAGAAACATCTCCCTATTGATACTCACCATCACACTGGTGTCCAACAAATCGCCATACTACCGCAAGTCGTCCGACAAACAAAAATGTTGGCAGAGTCAACACAAGCCGTCATTTGTGGTTGTTGCTGACATATGAGCCGTCTGTTTCTTCACTAGGTGCCCCAAAGCTCCAACAAGAGGAGTCCGTCACGTAGCAAGGACAACAGAGTGCTCAGATCAGGATCTTGCAAGCAGCTGCTTCGGGTGTTATCCGCTTGACTTTCATGGAACTACAACTCGACTCGACACCACAATCGGCCGTTCGACCGGCCTGGATGATCGAGCAACGGAGGATGACCATTGTGAAGTCTCGTACCACTGGAAGTGTCTCTGTGCATGCTAGATCATGTCTGCACTGTATGATGACACCTTCTGCTGGCCCCGCACAACTCATCCAAAGGTCGAGTGGAGAAGGGCGCAGCGCAAAAGGACACGGTGTTTAGAGCCGGGTAAGCTCGTAGACCCGACATGAAGTACAGTGATACTGCAGGCTGGGAAGAAGGCTTTGCCCTGACGGCCTGCAAAGCACCTCGCACTATCCATGATCCACTTTGCCCTGGTGGCCTGCAAGCACCTCGCACTATCCGTAATCCATCGTGCAGGACGGTGACACGGGAGGGGGGGGGGGTAACTGTATGTAGCTCCTGGATGCAAACACTTCAGGTGGCATCCGCGGTCCCGGCAAATCGAGACATCCACTCAGACCGTCGGACCGCGTCGCAGAGGCAACTAAGGTCAGCCAAAAATGTAGCTACAACTGCTGTTATCCAAAGCATGGCCGTACTATTATTCGGTGTTGTTGCGGCGATAGGGCCGAAAGTGATGCCATGCTAGCGTCATACGAAGTGGGCGCATGCAATGTGAGCACAATTGATCAGCCATCAACGCGAGAAATAGAGTCGCACCTACAGTCGTATAACTGTTGATTGGGTGGGTCATCTTCTGTCTGCGACTCGATTCTCACTACGGGTAACTTGAATCGAGATAGTGCACCTTGACCTGCGTCGGTCAGCATTCAAAAGGATCCGACGAGGAGTCGAATACACGGGTTGTCCTCTTTGACCGACACTGAGCCGAACTCGACGTGTACATAAACAGCACGGTTGTGTTTGCCAACGTGCTTACAGGAAGACAAGGCGCCTATCTGTTTCGATCCCGCACACTGCTTCATCGGTGGAGACTGTGCTAGAAGCGACGCAAACATCTGTGTCGGAGCGCAGCACCTTTGCTGGTCAACAAATGATAGCTCGGACGTGTACGCTTGCCGTCAATAGAGCTGAACATAGCGAGCAACGTTGTTGTTGCAGGAATTGCAAAAGCGATACCGCACGAGCGCATGGCTTGGCAAGTTACGTCCAAATCATGAGTTAAGTCACACTTACGTCAAGCTTCTGCCTTGGCTTCTTGACCACATCCACTTCAGTTACATGGTGAAGCTAACTTGCCACACTATTGGTCTGAGCGCGACTTTTACGCGTACAATACATACGCCGGCTCACGTGGTTTGGTGAGCGCCATGCGGTAGTTCGAAGAATGTGTGCGCCATGTGGAACGGATTGACATGTGGTGGAGATTCTTACCTGCTGCTCTGCATTGCGTTCTTGTAGAGCAGCCACGAGCACTTGACGCAGATACGAATCTGGCAACCTAAAACGCATGGACAAAATCGGTCAGTGAACGATGTTTGCATCTGCAAGAAGCAAAGAGAGCACAACTTTTAGCTGTGCACATTTATTTCTGCTGCTGGCCTTTCTGGGCTTCGCTTCATGTGGTCCTATACGTGGTCTACCACTGGTACCGCGCATACGTGGCGTTGGCACCCATCACGCTTTCTAAACAGCCCGTCCGTCAAGATCTTGTTGGGTGGTACGACCTCGTCGCTCGTCTTCCAACGAAGCGAATTTGTACAACACTTGAACAAAGCATCCTTGATATCTCATGTTTCGTCCATTTCTAGCGTACCGGGTGTGCTTACTCCGATCAATGATGCCTACACGCGCGATGTAGCGTCCTGCTGATAGCGAATAGTCTCGAGGTAGACAGAGCATGTCTGTACGCAATTTGGTACAAATGCCTCATCGATCTGTACATTCCGCATGGACCCTTTCTTTTCGAAAGCACTTTTACGGACCCATAAGTGGATATGATGCAAGACCATCATGTCTCTACACGTGTCCCCGCATCACGTTTAGTATATTGGGTACGTCGTAGGTTCACGTTGATCCTTCATCGTGTTTTTTAATTGGATCAGCTCTATCGTAGACATTTGAAAGCATGCTTTGAGCTCTCGTCAATCAATGATAAAACTCGCCATGAAGATTAGTTTCCATCCGATCATTCAGCCATAACCTGCACGATCAGAGTTCATCCAATGGAGGCGAAATAAAGACTGTGGTGCGGCTCTTTCAGAGTAAACTAGATAACAGCTTCCGAATGCTTCGTTGCATTCACTTTCTCGCAGATTCATGTACGCTAGCGCCGTTTGAGAGGGTGACCTTCCGAAAATTTTGTTCCATGGACCAGAAACGCTCACGCTTAGCGACAAGGTGAGTACAGCTGCGATGTCACGAACGAGCGTTACGTCGGACTTTACTCGACCGGCTTTGTTACACGTATTTGCGACAACATTACGCCACGTCTCTTCTACCGTCCGCCGATCATTGGAGGATAGGCTGCACGCACAGGTCTTCCCGGTAGAACAAACAAACCGTCTGCTGAAGTGCCTGCATCAGCGACATTCGGCGCTGAGCAGGCACGAAAGCAGCGTGACTTTACTATCGCGAGTCTACCGTGACATCTACCTTTGTCGTAATCGAATGGAATGCCCCAGTTCGTTAGAGTGGTGTCGACCATACACCCGGTGTTCTCGTCACGAATCTCGCAGTAATTGGGAGATGGGGTGCTCACCCTCGCTTCTGTCCACACTTTCGTCGTCAATCGCACGACATAGACCACCACTAGCCCGACGTTCCAGAGGAACAAACGTTTGTACGCGACCTGCGCACGCGAGCCATACGATAGATATGTCCCATCGGTAATAAATGAGGCTGATTGGTGGACAGACGCAAGGTGGTCGGTAACAACGTGACACACCCTCTCTATCTTGCGTCACAGCGTCACGCGGTTTATTCATGGCCAGGGCAGCTCTCAGCCTGTCAACTTTAAGGGCGTCTGCTGATTACAATGTGTCCCCAGCAAGCGAAAAATTTCGCTTCGAAAGCTTTCAGCCAACGCTCGGGCTTCTGTCGTACGAGGAATCGTATGGTTCATCCCTTGGCACAACAGCACGATGCGGCTATCGATGGATAGCCGCATCGTACTGTTGTACCAAGACCTCTCCCGTTGACGTCGCGATACAAAGATACGCATCATCGTTCTTATCTGCAAACAGCAGTTGAGAACGAAGTCGAACGTTCGATCATACGAAGACCAAAGGACGTAGACGAGCATGACCGCTTTTCTTCCATTCCGCAATTTGCACCACAGCGCTCACTTCCATTCCTCGTCTCTTCGGCCCAGATGCACCTGCCAGGGAAGCTGTTGTCCACACTGGCGATTGCGCTTCTTCTTCGCTGCAATGCCATGTCCACGGCAACGACGACGGAGACGTTGACCCCCTATCTGCGCTCTTCCATAGGTGGTCGTACAGATGAAAACGACCGGTCCTTGCGGGCGCTAGACTCTACACGAGAGAGCAGCGAACCAGAGGAAGCGAGGCTTTTCGGGAGATTTTTTTCTTCGTTTCTCGGCAACACAAGGTCGTCTAGCAGGAGTTCATCTATCCCGAAACCGGTGGTCCTGAAGCAGCCCAAGCTGGACAAAAAACGATTGAAGAACCAGATGAAAATTTATAGGGGTGGTGTTGGTACGAAGAAACTCAAAGACTTCGACGCATGGTTGAAGAATTTGGCAACACAACCGGATCACTTGCAGTATCAAGTGTTTAAAAAGTGGAGTTCGAAGGACATTTATCCCCAAAGACTTGAGCGTTGGCTCTACAAGGCTGACGCCACTCGCACCAAATCTGTGGATGAAATGCTGAATAAGTATAGGATATACTATGACATTATACCCATGGAGAAGAAAGCAAACAAGTACGTGAGCACATAGACAGCCGTGTGTTTCAATTGAATTTTGCTACATTTCTGTTTTCGCTTTTCCATGCATCCATCATGTCTATATTTGTACTGATCCCCTCTTTTACGCGTACAAAACACTTTTGCCATTCGGTGACTCACGTCTTGCAAAATGATGCTATTTGAGAGCGCAAGCCGCGCTTTAACACTCTAACATACAGTGACTTATGGTGTTACACAAACATGTTTGTCAGCTCTTGTAAATTATAGCTAAGTCTAGGCGACAGCATTCTCGACAACCTTAGTCACATCGCTCGCAGTCGGCAATATTGTCAGT